TCGTGGAGTGAGGCCCAAAGTCCAATCTTTCCCCTGCAAAAGCCTGAGAAGAAAGACGAAAAAGTCGTCAGGGTTTCTGTTTTAGGGAATTCTTTCACCCCCAAGAGTTCATTCCGTCAGCGTTTGACTAATACTGCCTGTCTTCAGCCCCCCGGGGGGGCGGTGGTGGCTTCGGGTTTACTCTTGGAGCCCCTTTCTCTTTTTTTCTTTGCTAATTCTTTAAGCCCAACCAATTCAAATACCCCTGTCGAATCTGGACAGGACGGCCTTTCAGGCCTTTTCCACCACTTGGCAAATAATGAAATGATGGGTTCATATTGCTGCAGAATCCGTCTAGGTGCATCTAACCATTTTTACATCCAATTTGACTCGTGGTGTGGACTGAATGAGGCCGAGCGTGGGTGCTGTTTCCTGGTGACTTGGGAGCAGCTGCATTTTCGGTGCGGGGAAAGAATTTAGGTGCATCTGCATCTAACCATTTTTAGTATTTTTACATTCTGGCAACAAGTGGGAGCTCCACTTTCGCTGTGAGGAACACACGGGGGATTGTGAGCTCCGCTTTCGGTGCTATTTTTCCTCGAGAGCGGGAGCTCGACTCTTTGTGTTGTTTCGTGCCGAGTGGGAGCTTGAGTCGTTGTGCTGTTTCCTTTTGGAACTGCGGGCCTGATGATTGGTGCTGTTGCCTTTTGCCACTGCGGGCCTAATGCTTGGTGCTGGGGGCATACTCACAGTAGGACTCCTTTTTGCAATCGGGGGAGCGTACTCATGGTAGGAATTTTTAGGGACGTGTCTGACTGATACTGTTATGTGAGTGTGAAAGTCTTGCTGCAAGTATCTGTCCTTAGCAGTAGACGGACGTGAATGACTTTAGATATAGCTGTAATAGAAAGGGCCACTGATAACCGTAGATGATTCGTGACTCGGACTTGGCTATCCAACGACTGAGCACCTATTATACCTACCAATGGCTATCAGATGGCCGATAGCTGATAGTCTTGGCTATCAAATGACCATGGTTGAGTGAGTGTGGATATCGAATGACCTTGGCTATCCAAATGACCATGGATAGCTGATAGCTAATAGCTGATCGCCAGTAGCTGATAGTGGATAGCCTTGGCTATTAAATGACCATGGATGAGTGAGTGTGGCTATCCAAATGACCATGGATCGCTGATAGCCAATAGCTGATAGCTGATGGATCGCTGATAGCCAACAGCTGATAGCCGATAGCCTCAGCTATCAAATGAACATGGACGGGTTTGTGCGGTTATCCACATGACCATGGATAGCTGATAGCCAATCAAGCGATGATCATAGCCAGAAGCCTCTCAGCTGATACCGGTTGGTTGAAGATGCTGCGTGCGCCAACTTCCCACTGGACCCCAATTTCTGCTCTTACAGGAGGCCTCGACGCAGGCCAAGGCCTAAATTTACAGGCCCGCCTCCTCTTAGGGCGGGTGCGGCGTTCCCGCACTATTGCCGAGGGGCTCAGTCCGAGCACTAACCTTATATTGAATTTCGTCAGTGCTGGCAAGGACTTGAACTCATGATCTGTTTGTCAACAGCTATATGTTGTATCCTGTTTCTCCAATGCCTATTCCAGTGCTTGGGGGGGTAACCCCATGGGCTGAAAGAGAGGGGGTGCACGTAGGGCGGAGAGAGAGGGGTGCGGTCAGGGCGGTGAGAGGGGGGTGCAACCCCTGTTAAACCACCAGTATTTCCGAGGGTCGTGCCCGTTGACAAGCCACAATTTTAGGAAACGTACGGGCCACTACAGGAGTGCCCAGATTCATCCGAGTAGAAACGTTTCTACTCTTTTTTTTTCTGCAGCAGATAGCTGGGCCAAGTACTGGTGGTTTGACCACTTTTGGAAGGAAAGGGGGAAGAGAGTTGGAGCTTCCCTGGACTTCAAAAGCAGGGGGGGAAAAAACAAGGGATGCTTGTTTGCTGCGCAAGTAAAAAATAAAATAAAATGGTGCGCTTTTCAAACTTTATGCTCACCAAAGGGTGCGATTATATTATTATTATTATTTCATCATTATTAATACTTATTATATAGTTATTAACTTATTACCTAGGTTGTTTCCCGGGCGCCCGGGCACCCAACTTGTGCCCAGAAACACGCCTGGGTGCCCGGCTGGGCATGACCCCCGGGCAGGCCCAACGCAAAAAAAATAAAATAAAAAAAAGAACAACGAAAGTCAAAAAATTCCAGAAAAAAACAAATGTTGTGTAGAATTGAAATATAAACAACTTTTGGCTGGGGGTCACATCAGAATTCCTCACGCAATCGGAGATAAAAAAGAAAATAACAAAATCACACTAAAGGACCCCCCTTTAACCCCTCTTAGCCCCTTTAAAAACAATTTATACCCCCCTTTCCCCCCCTTGACAGCCAACTCTCAAAAAATGAAACGAGCCTGGTTTTGGGGTCCTCTGGGAGAGCATAGAAAGACAAAAAATAAAATAATATATTTTCTTGCACGCCCAGGTACCCCGGGTGTCAGACCCCCCCGGGCGTCACGCCCGGGTGCCCGGCTGTGCAGGCCCGACTGGGCATGAAAAACTTCCTAGCTTATTACTATTACTGCCGTCTTTTTATTATTTACTACGATGAATTATTATTCTTATTCTTATTATTCTTATTCTTATTCTTATTAGTATTATTATTATTATTGTTATTATTATTATGATTATTATTGTTATGATGATGATGGTGGTTGTTGTCTGTGATGTGGATCACTAGGCCGGATGTCTGGGCTCTGTTTTTTTTTACTGAAATCCGGGACAACTTGAAAATGAAAAAACGTTTTTTTTTTTTTTTTTGTGGGCTAATGGGAGGCACAGCTACTGGCAAAATGCTCGGTCTTTGTGTTAGCAGCCGTTCGCCCACAATGGTCCACTTGGTGGACACGAGCATAATTTCATGGTGCGGCATTCAAGGCCCGCCAATGGGTTTGGGTACACCCACAATTTTGCCAGCCCTGTTTCTGGGCATGAGCATAATTTCATGCTCTGGGTCAAAGGCCTTGCTTGACTGGGTATGCCCACAATTTTGCACAGGGGAAAAGTGGGGTACTGTGCAAAGTTGGAACCGGTTCCAGGGTATAGATGCAAGTTCGCGCTGGGACTGGGTATATCTGCTATAGCAGGTGTTCCCATCATTACGTGGGGTACAGATGCAATTTCCCGCCCCAAAACAGACTAGGGATTATCTTTGTGTATTTTTTTAAGACTTTCTTCTTTTCATGGACTATGCCGTTCTTCTGGCGTGAGACTCCTCGGTGGGAGTTCTACACAGTACACACACATACGTATTATGAGGGTAAACCTATTTTACGATTGTACCTCGCTTGAACAGCTTTTGAAGTAAATGTTTTGTAGCTGTTCATGTTCCGCTAGTTAGTCGGTAGCAATGCATGTCTTCTAGCTATTTATTCCATCCACGTGTACTATGTGGGTACATCTACGTTACGATGGAACCTGTGTGAACAGCTTGCACAGCTTTTGAAGTATATGGCTTGTAGGCTGTAGCTTTTCATGTTCAGCTATTTAGTTTTCAGTTTCGTTTTCCAATTTAGCAGTGCATGTCTGTACTGACTCTGTAGCTATTTATTAAATACTAAATAGATATTCAGTTCGTCATGCTTGAGCAAACTAGTTCTTAACTAATTAGTAATTAATTAGTAATTAGTAATTACTAATTAGCCTATAGTTATTCATTTCGTACTGAATTCATAGCTAGTAGTTGATAGCTATTTGTCTACTAGTATAGAATCTATAGATCTTTTTTTTTTTTTTGGGGGGGGGGGGGGGGGGGGGGTTGGGGTTCTACTAGTATAGATCTTCATTCGAAAGGGAGCAGAGCTAATTAAAATTTTGAGCGGTGGACTGTGTACTGGCAATATCCACACAGTTTGTTGGTGTTTATACTGGGTAGTTTTTAGGAGAAGATAGGCAGATTGATAGGGTCGAAGACAGTTGTTACAATTTCTTTGAGTTTCGCATCCTCTGAATCCCCCGCTCAGCTCCCTTGTCTTTGCCATATTTGTTGCTTGTATTCGCACAATACCGATTCCCAATTCCCAATTCCCTCTTTTCCTTCCACATTCTTGTTACCCCTCTGAATAATTATTGTTATTTGGGTGGACCAGCATGTTCTTGCTGATGCACTGACAATGTAGATATGTTTCCTGTTAACACTGCACACAACACATCTTCTTCTTCTTCTTCTTCTTCTTCTTCTTCTTCTGCTTCTTCTGCTTCTTCTTCTTCTTCTTCTTCTTCTGCTTCTTCTTCTGCTTCTTCTTCTTCTTCTTCTTCTTCTTCTTCTTCTTCTTCTTCTTCTTCTGCTTCTGCTTCTGCTTCTGCTTTTTCTTCTGCTTCTGCTGCTGCTGCTTCTTCTGCTTTCTGCTGCTGCTTCTGCTGCTGCTTCTGCCACTGCTTCTGCTTCTGCTGCTGCTTCTGCTTCTGCTTTTGCTTCTTCTGCTTCTTCTGCTTCTGCTTCTGCTGCTTCTGCTTCTGTTGCTTCTGCTTGTGCTTGTGCTGCTGCTTCTGCTTCTTTTGCTTCTGCTTCTGCATCTTCTTCTTTCTTCATCGTCCTCCTCCTCCTCTTCCTTCTTTCTTCTTCGTCTTCCTCCTCCTCCTCCTCCGCTTCTTCTACTTCGTATTCTTCTTCTCCTGCCCGTTCTTCTCCACCTACCCCTGCCCCCACCCTCTTCTCCTTCCTCGTTCCTTTTCCTGCTGCTCCTCCTGCTGCTGTTCCTTCACATCCTCCTGTGTGGATCACCTCCCGGTCCTGCTCTTCCTTTTTTCTTATTTGTATCCCTTAATGTCGTGAGAGAGTTTCCCTCTTCTTGTGTCATGAATGTTCTCCGCAGTCTTCATCGTTGTTATTTGTCATTGTTCTGTCACCGCATTTTTGCAAATGGCATCATTGGCCCGTGTCCTTCTTGCAATTGGGGGTCGGCGGCATGACACGGCGTATTACCCCCTTGCAGATTATTCTTTCTGAACCGCCGGACTTGTTCTGATCATCGAGGCAGTGATGGCAGCACAGTCGTCCTTTATCCCAGTCAGCCGGGACAGCCATTTCCCGCTACAGAATCTTCCATTTGGGATCTTTCGACCAATCAGGGGTAGCGGTGCACGTCCACGAGTCGGAACAGCAATTGGCGATTTTGTTGTGGATCTGTCAGCTCTTGCCTGCCGCGGGGCTTTCAGTAACTGCCCTCATCTGTGCAAGGGTGCATCGGAGGGTTGTTTTGCACAGTCGAGCCTCAATGCATTCATTGCGCTTGGCCGTGATGCCTGGCGGGAAGCGCGCGAGTGCCTCACTTCTCTCTTGGCAGAGAAGGACCCTTATGGAGCTCCCTCCGCCTCCTGCTCCTCTGTGTCATCATCATCCTTGTCTCTCCAGTATGATGATGAAATCCGTGGCGAAGCTGTCATCCCGATTTCGGATGTGGTGATGGAGATGCCCGTCAACGTTGGGGACTTTACCGACTTCTACTCGTCCAGGCACCATGCATCAAACATTGCAGCGATATTCCGGGGTGGCAACAACACCCTGCCTGCCAACTGGGTTCATCTTCCGACAGCATACCATGGGAGAGCATCATCAATAGTCGTCTCAGGCACACCTATCCATCGTCCTTGGGGCCAGGTGGTGTCGCAGCAGAGCTCATGCTCTGGATTAGACTCAGGGCCTGGTGTGCATCACAAGCATCTGCAGCAGTGCAGCCCAGATCTGAAGCCGTGTGAACATCTGGACTTTGAACTGGAGGTAGCAGCAGTCGTTGGCGTAGGGACGACCTTGGGCACACGTGTCAGCGTGGAACATGCCCGGGACCATATCTTTGGGTTTGTGCTGCTCAATGATTGGAGTGCCCGGGACATCCAGAAATGGGAGTCGGTGCCACTTGGTCCATTGGTGGGAAAGAATTTTGGGACATCCATTTCTCCCTGGGTTGTCACACAGGATGCTTTGGAGCCATTCACCTGCCCTGCACCTGTTCAAGACCCGCCTCCGCTCCCTTACCTAAGGAACCCTAGGCGTAGGAGCTTTGACATCCGTCTCGAAGCGGCAATCAGGCCTCCTGGTGCCACGTCTGGCGCAACGGTTTGTCGGACCAATTACCGCCACCTCTATTGGACTGTTGATCAACAAATGTCCCATCTTACAGTCGGAGGCTGTAGTCTTCGGCCAGGAGATCTGCTTGCATCTGGGACCGTCAGTGGTCCAGAGACTTCCAGCTTGGCTTGCCTCTTGGAGCTGTCGGGGGGAGGTACTCGAGACGTCGTCTTGAATCTGGGCGCCGAGCAATCACAGCCGTCAGATTACGAATCTGGGTATCAGGAAAAGCCAAAAGGGCAAGTGACTAGGAGGTTCCTTGAGGATGGAGATGAGGTCGTTCTCTCGGGGTACTGTGACGGAGGCAGCTATCGTGTCGGCTTCGGAACCTGTGTCGGGCATGTGCTGCCAGCTATCCCACTGGATTGCTGATCTGGCGAATGGTGATTTGTCATGGTTCTGCTCATTAAACCGCCAGTGCTTTGCCCGTACATCGGCCGCGGCGAACGATAGAGCTGCCACGTTTCCACTTGAACGAATGTGGACCAGAGTCTCCGGGCCCGTTCGGCCCAGCGCATTCGCGGCTCGTATACAGCCGCGACTTTCAGAAGTACCCTTGCTTTAACTCAGTGATGTACACATTTGCTCTTGTGGGCTGTTCTTCTGGAATGCCCAGCTTTTGTGCTGTGCTTCACTGAGCCACACTGTGCTGTCATATTCTTTTTGCTGCCCGCACAGTCTTTGCGCTCTCGTTTCTCCCTCCCGCGTTCCTGTACGTACGTCTTGCAAAATGTGTGGCATCTCCCCAGCAGTGCTTGCTTTGCCCTGTCGCCGGACGGCTGGGCTGAGGACGGTGTTGCAATTCAATTTTGAATCTAATTGTCATAAAATGCTCTCCAGTCTACTCCGAACTGATGTTCTTGAATTCTAATGTGTCTAATTTTTGTCCGGTGCTCTCGTAGTTTTTTGTGAGCTTTCTGTCTTTCTGGCGTTTATCCAGTCGTGTTTTTCCCATCCTTTCCCATTTCCCCCCCCAGTTATGCCCCCATCCTTTTTGTTTTGTTCGTTCGTTTTCCTTGCCCCCATCTTCTCTTAATATTTTAGCAATGTAGAACCCGGTTCGCAAAATGTTCTTTTTTTCCCCTTTTTTTTGGGGGGGGGCGGCAAATGTTCTCGCATCTCCAGTCTTCTCCAAAGGTATGTCGAGAGGCAGAGGAAGGAAATGAGATCGTTCCTCTATCGCGGGAGCAACAAGTGTGACAGTCATAGGTAGGAGATTAGGAACTAGGATAGGGTAGAAGAGATGCAGGCATTTCTTGACCTATGCTTGTCGGTGATAAGCAACCGGACTGATGCCCCCCTTTTTTTTTCCTTTTTTTGTTTGGCCCCCCAGAATAGACAGGGCTCTG